ATCTTTTTCTTCCGCCCGGCTCTGAAAAGCTCTTGATCTGATTCCATATATAGGATGCAGCCACCTCACATACCCCTTCTCTCCATCCCAATCCATGAGGGCCCCGACAAAAAAAGGGCAAGGAAGAGCCACGCACTACAACCCAATCTCCTGGAGTTACATATGGGTTACGGCCACCTCTACAATGCTCCTCCGGCGGACAGCCATCAACAGTAATCAAGGAGTCGACCGGCTGAGCTTGGATATCAGCCCCAGGAGCAACTGAGATGAGAACATCATCTGGAATTCCCAAAGGCTGCACCACATCACTGCCAGGTGAGTTCAAGCCAAATCTGAGCATCTCTTTGAAGTCAACGCCTGTGTAACCCCATCGATTCGTAGCGATGGACTCCAGCCACTCGAGTCCTGATTCGTGCATTTCGTAGGAACCCTGCGCTTGGAGAGTGCGGCCCAAATGCTTGATGAAGTTCATGTGGTCCGTGCTCTCCTTCCCGCCAAACTCGTGCTCGATGTTTGGTGGATGTAGAGAAGCAATCGTGTCCAAGTTTTCAATTGGAGCCAGGAGCACATACCTGCTCCAGTCTTCATCTGTGACATACTGCTTCCATCTTGCGTGGATTCCTTCTCCATCTCTCATCAGCTCCATGCAATGAATGTTCCGCAGGCGTCTGAACTCAATGCCAATAGTCCGCCGGATTTGCTCGAAGTCCGACGTTACGCCCAAGTGGTTCCAAGGTCCGATCTCAAAGCCACCTTAGTCATCAATGCTTATGTCCAATGATGTCCGACGGAAAGCAGCCCCTATCAGCCAAGAAACGAAGAGAGTTGGATACAATCTGCTCCAGCTGCATGAATGTCAGGTATGAGCGTCCACGCAATGATACCACCAGCCTGGAAAAGAATCCTGAGCACAAGTTCAAATGTCACCACACCAGATCATCAGTCAGCAATGAGTCACAGAGACACTCAATCAATAATTGCGCAAAATGTCTGTCGATTGGTCCGTGGGAGTGACCCACAAGCGGAAAAGCAAACTGCATTTTGAAGAGCCGGGTGGACTTCATGATTGACAAGAACCAAATCGCAAAGGCCATCATGGTGGAGTTCTTGGTCTCCTTTGGCGTGTTATCTGATACGACACCTGAGCGAAATGACTGAATTAATACTGTCATGGGTTGAGGCTGTAAAGGTGCAACCGAGAAGCAAAACGAAAGGGGAAAGTGTCCGGCGTCAAGGACTGCTTCATGAAAAGCTCGGAGAATGACACTCGTTTGCATGTTGGCACCATGCTTGCAATTTTCTAAGACTGTCCAAACTCTCCATGGCTTGTGGTTACCTCAGTTCAACATCAGCGACGCAAAGAACTAGCTGTCCAGAGTCAAAGACAAAAAGGTGCTGCCAAGAGGCGAGGTCCTTGCCACCACATCCCGATCACGCCCACCACAAACCGTGCGCCGGTCTTGAACAAATGAGTACCAGACCTCAGCAAACTAGCGGTTGCTAGTCAAATCATGAAGCAGGACAGTATCCTACCTCCAGCCAAGGCGCATCCCAGCAATTGTTGGAAGCTTGCACTTGTTCTGGTCCATTTTGTCGATCGACAAGACCCTTGGACATGCCACGATAGTAAAATGCACAGACAGCAACAATTTCCAAATAATGACAGAACTGAGTAAGCCAGGCAGCCACTCATCGCCACTTGATCTCCTGGCAGATTCCTGTATCTTGTGGATCCCGATTCGTTGCGCTGCCTGGGTCGCACCCTCACTGGGGCCGGCCCGTTGGGGGCCCGTTGGGCCCGTTGGGCCCGTTGCCCGTTGGGTTCCCGTTGGGTTCCCGTTGTGCCCGTTGTGCCCGTTGCCCGTTGGGCCCGTTGGGCCCGTTGGCCCGTCCGGCCCGTCAGGCCCGTCAGAACACATTCCAGAACATTTGCCAGCCCTTCTCCTAGATGATGTGTCAGAACAAGAGTCGGAACATGGTGTGTCAATACATGTGGCCTCCTTTCCACATAGCCTCTGGCAGTAAGATAAGTCTTTTTCCCATTTGGTTAGCTTCAGACCTCACAGGTTCCAGGTTCAATCTCCCCCGCTTTGTGTTCCGGGCCCTGACGTTTAATGAGCAGGT